TTGCATCTTGAACTACTTATATTAGACTCTCTATTGAGATTCATTTCTGAAGTGGAGCTTGCACTTGAGATGGATGACATCTCTTCTGCTGGTACCTCCTCTAGTATACATTCCTTGCTATAATCCAGTAATGCAAATGATGTCCCTCAAAATTGTTGGAAACACAACTGGTACCCGTAATAGATGACACTGTCAGCTCATCACTAAAACATGTCATTAAGCTTTTGTCTGAGAATATTCAGAAGTGCAGCTCTTAACATTTGTGGGTATCCTTGGAAGGCAGACATCAATTCTAATCCTCCAGGCTCATATTTTCAGATCTGTTTCTTGGGCAGCTCTGGTATCAGGACAGTTGACTTGGATCGTGTACTGAGCCCATTGTGCTCTGACACACATTTGGTAAAGAAAAATGTATCCTTGGATATCTTCTTCCTATTTTCAGCGGCGCATATCTAGCAGCAGACCTCTATTGTCCCAACAGCACCACAATTTGTGGATATAACCATTCTTACCAAGCTACTGAACTCAGGATGTTGCAAGAGGAAATCTAGACTATCTCTGAAGAAAACAATGTCTCAGTTATCCTTAGTCTAACCAATATCTGTACAGTGTCTTGCTTTGATACCACTAGCCAAACCCTTATCCTGGATGGATACTGCACATGTCCTGCAAAAGAGATCCTGCTATCTTGTAGAAGAGCATAGTAGTAGATGCAAGCAGTAGATGAAGAAACCTAGTTGCTGCAACAACTGGTACTCCATGTCACAGGCTTGAAACTCTCACTTTAAGATGGTTTGTGTGCCTAATACTTCCATAAAATCCTCCAGTGTTACAGTGCATCTGTAATAGGTAGACTGCTCCTTTCTGAGGATCTGTTTTCTTCTTTGGTGATGTATTTTTGAGTGCTTCGGTTTTGGGAAGTTAGTAGTCAGATAACGAATAATAGTGGTCACACTGATCTTTATTCTCAAGATAATATTTACATAAGATTAATTCATGTTGTTGAGATATTCCTGTAACAGATCCTTAACTAAAAGTGTGAGGAGGCATGGGCAGATGAATAAGTCTAAACAACATACGTGGAATGCAAATAATAGGATTATTTTAAATGTTTCAGTCTTGACCTCATGATGGTTTTAAATTGGTTGTCAGGGTCCACCCTGGAAATTTCATAGGTAAGCAGGGTTCTTTATAGAGAGAGAAAAACAAATTATATGTCACATTTATAAATACATCGAAGTTCATATTTATAATTAAGTTTTCAGTATTTAAACCTGATTTGGAGCTGTATGAAAACAGTAGTTGTAAAGGTATTATTCCAAATGTGGATGATAAATAAAGTATATGCTTATAGAATATTATACAGTTTTGAAACTATTGTTGATATACTTTTTCTAATTGTGAGAGTGTGGTTTTTAGTCATTCACTCCCACTTCTATAATGTGTCTTTCACGCAGCTTACTACTATCGCTGGTGTTGTGTATTTTGATTTAATTTTTAATTTACACCATCAGGTTTCCAAATTCAGAAATTATTCTGAGTACCTGTGTGATTCGTCAGTAGTTGTGCATGAATGGGTCAGGAAGAAAAGATATAAAAATTCAGGATTCATCTCATCAGATCTAGGTGCTTAGAAGTTAGTTGGATAAACTAGTCACCCTAGGTTCTTTTTATTGCCAGGGAAGGATAGCAACAGTTTTTTCTCCTGCAGTCAGTTAGATGAATTATACTCTCTATGTTTCCTATTCCCCTCTATTTGCTTTAGAGGGATGCAGGTTGATTATTCAAACTTGAGCTACTCATTGTTTAGGGATAAATTGAGTATAAGCTGCTTTTTCCTCTTTTCTTTCTACATTTCTGCCATTTTGTCCTTGCTGAAGGTAAAATGTGCTGAATTATGCTATTTAAGCAAAGCTTTTTCTCACTGTTTTTGAATACAGTTCAGTGGATTCATAGGCCCTAAGACAGAGTAAGTAAAGTTTTGTCTAACTATGATTATTTCAAATACAGTGCTGGTAGGTCTTAAAAACGTTAAAGCATACAGAGAATTTTTATGTATTTGACACTTCCTTTTGCTGTTTTGCTTATTTTGTTTCACAATTCAGGGAATGTAAAACTGAAAGATGAATCATGAGAAGACTACTTTACATTTGAAATGCATCAGTCTGAGTGAATTTTGTTAAATATGAAATAGTAATCAAATAACGTACATGACTTGAAATGTGCTGTTTTCTGCATATTAAAAAAATGCCTTGCAGTAAATTTACTGAAAAGCAGATTTTGTGAAATGTTGTGGGGAACATTAACATCCTCATGCCAACAACAACATGTTCTACTAGCATTAAGCCTAGTCATTAAGGATTTTTCAGTTAAAAATAACAACTGTAAAAGCTATTCAATCATTTGCAATCTTTTTCTTATCTTCCTAAGAACATCAAGAAAATCTAATCAATCATTTCCTCTTTTCCCTACTGTTAGACAATGAATCAGTATTTATGGCAATTCCTTTTCATTTGGACCTCAGAATCCCATTTTCATTTGATTAAATAATGTTTGGAAGTCTTTCAGAAGAAACTAAGAAATAGCACGGCCTGTAACTTATGTAGAATTAGGAAACGGTCTTTGTTGTACAAGAGGTATTTTTTGGATGTTAATGAAATAATGCACTTTCCAATATGTAATTATAGCTATATTTTTTTAACTGAAAAAAAAACCCCTCAAACAACCAAAACCAGAGGAAATATTTGTACATAAAATGTGATTTTGAAAATAACACTTCTCTGAATAATTGTATTGCATATTTTCTTTGAGGTGAGACCTTCTGAGGCTCTTACTAGTCACCATTATCCCTGTACCTGCGTTAAAGAATTATGGATTCTACTTATTCAGCTGCTGGACCACAGAAATAAAGGATCTCACACAGAGGTAATGGAAGAATACTGTTACATATTCATACCTGTTATATATGCAATACAGTCAACAAATGTTCCCAGGTTGCCATGAATGTGGTAGTTCACATGTCTGATGATAGAACTGAGCTTCATATTTGCTTTAGGAGGACTGCATGCTGACTATGATGCTGTCAGCTGCCATCTGGAATGTGCATCAAGTCCTGACTCTAGTTTTGCAGTGTACTGTTTGGTTATAACGTAGGGCGCTGATAAGGTGTGCTGCTTGTGCTAAGGAAAGCAAAGCTAAGGAACAGACTGTGAAGGTTGTATGGTAGAACAAAACAAAATAAACCATCTTTACCCTTTTAAAAAAAAATATATTATTATTTGCAATTTATGTGTTATGTCATGCAATGATTCATCTCCAGGTGTTAGAAACACGGGTACAGTCAGAACAGTGATCCATCTAGCCCATCATTCTCTCTTTGATACCCACACCTTAACTACCTATAAATGAACAACCTGTTTTTTCTTTTTGAATCTTGTAGTTGCTGACTTCTTTTGATGCCCTATTATACTTTTATTGGAAGAGCCAATAATTCTCTGTTCTCCTTATTTATGCCAATGTGACTTTATATGCCACTTCAGGGTTTTTTTCTGCTATCTCCTACCTTCTGCCTTTTCTCGGCTGAAGAGTCTTACTGTATTCAGTCATTCTTTTCACAGGCACCATTCTCTACCTGTAGTCATCTTTGTCACCCTTCTCTGAACCTTTTTCCATACTACTACATCCTATTTTGAATGGCAGAGTACCAGGATTACATGCAGTATTCCATACATCGCATAATGATGTTTTCTATTTTGTTCTTTTCCTTTGCTAGTATTTTCTAGTGTTTTGATTTCTCTTTCTTGACTGCTGGTTAGAATTAAGCTGATGCTTCTCTGAATGAATATTAACAAGTGTCAAAATAATTTGAAAGTTTTCTGAAATAATCTTTATAAAAACCAAAGTTGCCATCTGCACAATGAGTACTTTTCACTTAGTATAGAATAAAGTATTTCACAGTAGAGTGTTTGTACTGATAGCTATTTACTTGTTAATGACCACAGACATAAAAGTGGACAACACAAGTGAAACTTCATTAGTGTTTATTGTTTGCACTAGCACTAGAGCTTTGAAGCGTAAGTTAGGATCAGGACCCAGCTAAGATGGTGAAATACAGGTACAAAGAAGTCCCAGAGACTTTCTGTATAATTAGGGAATACAAGCACAGGCTGTAAGAAGTAGTAATATTGTAGTATAGACAGTGATATGACCCAAAGAGAATTAGTTGGTTTGTCAGTGCTGGAACAGACTTGAAAAAAAAAAAAAATAAACCCAGGGAATTTGAACCGCAAAGTGCTGTCTGTATAGACTGATTGTGTGCCATGTACTACTGTATTCCTCTTGGTTAGATTACTCTGGCACTCAAGGTTTTTTTCAAAAATCTGTTATAAAAAGTCTTAATTAAAGAACTCTAATCTCTCTCATGTGAATGGTGGTGCACCATCCTGGCTGCACTTTGTCATTCCACCAGCTTGTAGTTTTGCCTGGGAAGTATCACACCATGTTCTTCCTTGTGACCAAAGCTTGTCCTTTCACATTGCTTTCTACTGGCATTTGAAAGAGGACATTCTAAAGTAGCTCCGGGTTTTCTGTGGTTATACTGAACACCAGTTTTTGTTATTTTCTTTAAATGCCTGTCGTCTTGCTTGTACTCTGTAAAAGCAAATATGAATAGGACTGTATTGTAGAGAAAATTGTTAACAGGGGCTTTGTTATTCAACACAGTTCAAATTTACTTTTGCTTTTTCTACAGTATTTCTGGAGCTTGGTGAACAAAACCCTAAAGAACATCTTTGAAAGGTCAAGTAGTTCTGAAAGGATGTCTGGTTTTGAAACAATTCAGTGTAAAGACCCATTGAGTTTTAGCTGGTGGGTTATTACTCATCTGGCATCACTCTACCAGTTTGACCGTAATGGAAATCTAGATGAAAAGGTGGGTATGCTTTTTTTTTCTAAATACCTAAAAGTTATAATTTATTGAGGTCTCTAACTTTGCTTGGTTATTTTTGTTGCCAGGAAATAATTCATGTTGTAATAGAGGGATTTTTCACACTCCTTAAAAAAAAAAAAGAGTCCTTTAGGGTTGGTAGTTTTAAGGTGTGCTTTGTACAGGTCAGTCAACATTCCAGGAGCCCCTGACGTATTTATGTTATATATCAGATATTCAGTAGATTACCGTATTAAAGAAACTTGAAATATCCCAGCTAGTTAGTAGCACATGTACTTAAAGGTGTAGCGTATGTTTTAAGACTATCTGCTTGCAGCATAAATGCTTCACTGTTTGTTGTTTTAGGAACTGAACACAGTAGATTGTACTATATGAAGTATAAACCTCAAACATTGACTGTATAATTGTTAATACCACTTCTTAACAAAACAGTGGCAGCTCTGCTCTGGATAAATTCTAATCTGTCTCATTTTCTGTGTTGGTGTGGTACCAATAGACACTGTCTAATAACTGTTGAATTCAAGCTTAAGTTTAGGAAGTTCTGGCAGTAAGTTGTAAGACATTTGCTTTTAGAAGATGGCCTTAGATTTTCCAACTGGCTAGAGCAGGCTAGTCCACAATTAATCAGGGTCTTCTCTGTGAATCTCATTGTGAGGGACTTGACATTACCATGCATTCTATAAGGGGCCTAGGTGAGACGTGCACGTGCCATTCCTACACCTGTAAGATGTACGTAGAGCCACATTTGGTACTGATGCATCATCGCATTCCTTCGTGGATCTCACTGTAGTGTTCTGCAGTTCTGGAGTCATGTAAACCCTCACCCTTCTTTCAGTCTCTTTCGCTGAGATTCATCCTTCCTGGTTTTAGGTTTCTGATCATTAGTTGGAAAGGAACTAGGCACTTGCTGAGGCAATTAATCCATTTTGAGAGGTATGAAACTACCGATTTCTCTTAATTGTGTATAGAGGGAGATGACTAGAAGCCAAAGAGATAGCTGAAGACCCAGCAATCTAGGTTTGTGGATTTTTTTGTTTTGGTTTGGGTTTTTTTGTGGGATAGTGGTTTTGGCACTAGGGGAACCAGGTCATGCCATCTTCTGTCATCTGTCCTTCTGTTCTTTTGTTTTGTCTCACTGTAGTTGTGTTTGGTTTTTTTTTTTTTTACATTTCAGCTGGATTGCTTATATTCCCTAGTTTGCCAAACATGAGCTATGTATGGCTTATTCCACAAATTGGGCTTAATTGCACTTTCTTATTTTTGTTATTTATAATTTAATAGTGTGTATTAAAACTGGAAAGGCCATCCTCTTTTTTTGTTAAAATCTTTACCATGATTTCCTGCCCTGACTTAGGACAAAATGTTAAAACCTTGAAACATGTTTGTGAACTGCAGATCTATAAAGAGGGATGAGAATGACCACATCATTTGATCAATTTGTTTTGATAACTTAAAATCCCCCCCTTCATCTTTAAATCTTTAAAAGCATTAGTATATAAACAGAAGGAATGAGAAATGTTGAACTTCTCTGAATGCTTCTAATCCGAAGTAAAAATGGGCTTTTTAATAAAGGTAAAAATTATTTTCATTGATTTTTATCATGCAAAGTCCCTGGTTTGTCAAAAAAAAGAAAAGATAGGGAAGGTATGGTAACTCAGTGGTTGAATACTTAGTTGAAAAACTCATGATCATTTCTGGTGACTAGAGGACTTAATGAATGTGGGATGCTTATGCTTATACTGCTTACGAGTTGACAGATCCTTTAGGATCCCATGGCAGGCTGCTTGTTATTGTGTGGTTCAGTCTCCTCTATAATACCATGGCAAAATGAAGCAACTCCTTACACATTCATACAGTGTAAAAATGCAGACCACATCTGACTGTTACACTGAAGGCTGCCTCAAGCTTCCCTTGCTTTTGCCCCATTACTACACTAGGGGGGGAGGACCACAGTCTATAGTGTGTTTCAGAGGGACATTGGGAAGATAGAATTACTACATTCCCTGCTTATTAAAGGAACTTACGTGGAGAGAAAAGGTTATTCCCAAGTTGAATACAGAAACCAGTGTGAAGCAGACATATATCCTGGGTTTCTTATATTTTATGCCCTAATCAAAATGCAGTGATACTGTTTACTTTGATCATTGGATTTTTCTCCTGTCTCTCATACCGATATATAATATGTATTTAGCCTTGTGAGAGATTATTTTTTGCCACAGGCACTGTATTATTTAAATAAACCAAACAGATGTAGAATGGAAAAAAAAGATTCCTGTTGTTCTTATCTTAAAGTGGGAATCTGAGACACGGTGTCAGGAAGTGACTTGCCCAAGATTAAATAATATTTTTTCCTTAGAGCCCACCTGGGAGAAGAGAATTTCCAGGTCTCGATTTGTAAATCACGAGAACATCCTGTGCACGCTCCCCTTGATGTTTCCGGTAGTCTTTATGTTCAAACCGCTAGCTGTGCTTCGCATTTCTCTGAGTGTGGCTGTGAGTTTGTCCAGGGATCCCTGTTCTCTTAAGTGCCATGGGTGCTTATAAAAAATCTGTCAGTAACAACAGTGCCTTTTCACACACCACAAGAGTCATATCTGTCATAGATAGTTGATGGTAACCACTTCTTCATGTTCCACTCCCCCGCCTTCCCCACATTACAGCATCAAACATTCTTTGAACATTATAAGATAAAATAGTCTGTGATATAAATTTGTGAAGTCAGTGGAATTACACCAGGGCCCAATGTAGTCCTGTTTTGTTGGTTAAACATCTGATGCGATAGCTTCGTGACACATGCTTCCTTTTAATTAACTGTGATCAGAGGTGGGAGGGTGAGGTGTCATAATGATGGTTATTCATGTGCTCTGTAGCAAAAATTGCCTCTAAGCCTATGTCATCTGTGGAAGATTTTCAATTTTTTAATGTGGTCTGCATGGCCTTGAGGTTATTATGAAGCTTTAAAAATTCTAAATAGGTTTCAGACTTGCTTCTTTTTATTTTTTTCCCTTAAGCTCATATAATGTAATTTAAAATATGCAATGATTCATATATATTGAATATATATTTCATACACATGAAACCATTTTTTTAAGCTAGAAAATTTTGGCCAGGTTTCTTAAAGACTCTGTTCTAAGGGATGTACAGTGCATGTCTCTTGCCATAACCCCCCACTCAGGTCCCACTTCACTCTTCTAAAAAGCAGGATTTGTACATTTAAAAACCAAATGGGACCGGATGAGAAAATTTGCTACTTCTGAACGTTGCAGGGGTCAATTTCAATATACTGTGGGCTAGGGAAATATAGGCAGAATTACTTGGGGCTAAGAATTCTTGCCTTTGAATAGAATAATCTGAAATGACTATGTGGCAAGATATGCAAACATGGGCTTCCAGCTGAGAAGCGTAGTATGGCTCTTCCAGGTAGTCAGCTGTTAGTCCTTGCAAAAGTTTATTCCTGTGAACCCAGAGGGTCTCGGCTCAAGTTTTTGCTTTTAACAGCACTTTTATGCACTGTAAGGTCTCCAAGTTCTGTTGATTTTAGGACTCTTTGGGGCTGGAGGGAAGATGTTGTAAGCCAGAAGGTTTGGAGTAGGAGATGTAGATTCTACATATTCTCTGACAAGGATGGATTGTAAACAGTTGCCATGCCATATTGCCAGTGTAGTGGGGAATACTGTTAGGATGTAAATTTATAGGGATTTGAATGAAACAAGTCTGAGGCAAAAAAAAAAAAAAAAAAAGTGCAGCAGGTGGTTGCTGTCATTCTTTCCTCAGTTTGGCCTGAACCGGGGTGCACTCTTGTAACCAGTTCCAGTTGGTGTCAGGAGACTGCCCTAGATTACTCCAGGATCTTTTAAGGTGATCTGCATACGGGAGATGAGCTGGAACTTTGGCAACAAACAACTTTTGTATAAATCATGTGTCCTTGGACGATGGGAATGCTAAAAGCGTGTTCTGAGCAGGCTGATCCAGACATTCAGATGTCTCGTAGCTGTTTAGGATGACTCTGTTTGTCTCTGATAAATCTGGCTTTTGAGCAGCTGATTAGCTTTACTTGGAGCCTGTAGTAGGACCATGCCAGTGTGTAGATATTCACATAGCATCAAGCTCTAAAATACAGCTGTCAAAATAAAAATCTGATAAATACTAGCCAGAACTGTGGGAATGCTGATTGTGCCCTTCCTGGGTTTTACTCATTTACTCCTTGGCTAGTCGTTGGTGCAGTGGCCTCTCCTTCTGACAGAGCTCTAGCTTTTGTTTCATGATGTAAAGGCTTTGGCATCAATAACAGCTTAAGAAGTTGTGTTTACCACCCTAGGCATGATAATCCCTCTCCTGTTCTGGCACAATTATTTGTGTCCCTATTCTATGACCTAGGTCAGGCCCTCCTCCCTTTTTCATTCTTTCTTTCTCTCCTAAAGCTCTGGGTCGGTTCACTGCTCTGGTTCACACCGTGTCCCACAAGCACCAGAACTGAGCGGTGACATGCTGCTACTGGGAGGGCAGGGAGAGCAGCTGGCAGGATGAGGAGGAAGCGGTGGGAACTCCTTAAGTGACACTGCTCAGGTTCCTGAATTGTAAAATCCCAGCTTTAGTGTAACTTTCTGCACATTTGTCCTTTCATTCCATAAACAGTCTGCAGACTGTGATGTGCTACCATCAGCAGTCTTTCAGAATTTTCTTTTTCTTGTTGTGCAAAAATGTAAAGCCACCAAGTAGTCAAATTCTATTACATAAGTATTAGTGCATCTTTTGAAAGAGTTAATCTTTAAAATTGCCTTGGTACTCTCTGGGGTCCTGTGTGAAGTTGTCACAAAGTCATAGCATTGAGTAGTGTAGTCAGTAGCAGAGGAGGATGGGGCACGATGGTGTTGCTGCTGGAAAGTAGTTGTGTTTCAATTGCCAAAGCAGAAGATGCTCTTTATTATAAGCTTTATGCAGACATTTAAAGGACAGATATCTGCAGAATAATTTACAAGGCTTAACAGTTGTGATAGGGGAGGGAATGAGTAAGGCAGGGCAATGATGAAAGTACTGTGTTCACACAACTAGTTATCTATGCAAGCTATATACATAGCTGAGTGTAAGAGATGATTTTTGGACCTCCTAGAATTGTAAGTATATTGGTTCAGTTACCTTTTTTTTTTTTTTTCCTGCGAAATAGCCTCAGTTGCAAAACCTTGTACCCTTTTATTTCACACTTGGCCTAAATATTTTTTTTCCTTTCCTTTTTAATATAATTTACCATGCAACTCTTTTACTTCACTAGCATGGTCTAGTTGGTTCAAATGGATAGTCATCTGTCTTCCCAAGCTGAAGAATATGAATTATGAGCCATATTTACCCTACCCTGTATTTTTTTTCTATCTGTATAGGCCATTACTATCTGGCCTACTACTTTTCAAATTGGCCAAAACAATCCTTAATATTTGGCCTGGGAAAAATGGGTTAGAAGTGTTTTTTTTGATTCAGAAGGAAAAAACAAGAAAAGATGAGATTGTACCTTTTCCTCCTTCTTACCCCTTATATCTTCGTTTCTACAGAATGTTAAAGAAAGAAATTGTAAGACACATTTACTGCTTGTACTAATCAAAAATGCCTGAATGTTTTGCTTCTTTTCTAAAAGTGAAGTCTGGGATTGCAAATGAGACACTTAAACCAATTTAAATAGCATACTCTTTATTTTTGGGTCTTTATTTGTTTTTGAGGCCTAATTTTTAAGACAGATATCAATTATATTCAAAAACCAAAAAAGCTCTTTTCAGCTTTGATCATACTGTCATGAAATGAAATATTTCTGGAAATCTCTTGCCTGCTTATTTTCATGTTATTACATAATGATTCCTGTGAGGAATAGAAATGCTATTTCATGCTGAAAATCATTATTTTTCAGAAACAGAAGGAATCCAATTGGAAATTTGTGGAAGAACTCCTTAAAAAATCCACTGATGCTCAAGTAAGTGTGTGAAGGGAGAAATAATGAACAAGGAAAGTGTCAGGGATGCTTTCAGGAAAGGACAGCGCATGAAGCAAAGTCCAACTAGCAAGTGTATTTTTGGTTTTCTAGTGTTTTTATCACAGGTAAATGAACATCCTTGACGTAGCTGAACCATGGCAGTGTACAGTCCTCTCCTTCTTAGCAGTTACACTTGCTTTAAACTGGTTGTGCTTGATGCTAAATTGTCAGATAAAGGAAAAAGATAATTATTCTGGAAGGGTAGGTATGTGGCTACTCAGACAAGATGTATTCAGAATAAGAACTTGATGCTTATAAAATGTAAACCAGATACTGAATGTAAGGATATCAAGTTGAGGAGACATGATGAGCGAGATAGTCAGTTGCATTGAAAATTCAGCTGTATCCTCATTATAGCAGGAAGGTGACTTGCCTTGCTGAGCAATTTGTCTTACAGGCTTGAATCAAACTCTTACTGATAAGGTTCTAGTTTCTGAGCACTCATTTCATACCTTATCATTTTTCTTTCTGCAGAACTGTTAATGCAATGCTTCATGGCCCAGAGGTCAGAACTGACCTCCTTTTAAGATGCTTTTAAATATGCTGTTCATCATGTTTTAAAATATGTTACATTGCAGCTCTGTAAATTTGTTCTGAAGTTGCATGGTACAAATTGCAAATGCTGTATCAGCAACACCTATAAAAATAATATCTTTAATTTGTGTATGCTTGTATTTTTTTATTTGGTCTCAGATGAAATAAAAAAAGCGTGCAAAGTTCACGCTCACTCTCAGCAGAGAGCCTGAGCCACCTTCATCCAGCATAGGCCTGATTTTGGTGGTGATAAAGCCTTCCTGAGGAAGGTGTGCCATGGCCAGGTGCAGGTGGCAGAGGGGTGTTGCAGTGCCCTGTCTCCAAGTAGCAACTCCGTCAGAAGATTATAGCTTCTGAGCAAGGAAGAGAGATGAAGGGCCTGTTCAGGGCAGGGGACCAATGGAGGCGGGAAGCAAAAATATTCTATTTGTCAGCTGTAAATGAAGATAGAAGCAAGATTGGATACTTGGGCAAGTATAGAGTTCTGCTTTCTTGGATATATCCTTTTAGCTTCAAACAGTTGAAAGACTGGTGGGTTTCTCAGCCAGAAACTGTTCTCTTTTTTGTAATTCTTGATGGATAGAGTTGAAGACAATTACTAGTGTGAAAGATCTCCCATTTATATCAAAAAAGGACATTTATGGGCAAACTAGTTACATGAGATATTCCCTACTTCTGTTGTAATTTGGATTTCTGATACTGGGCTAATGACAAAAGTAGAGCTGTTTTACAATTCTATTTGTACTACAAAATGAAAATTGTTGTACTAGGAATATTAACATAGCTGTATTTGTATACTAGGCAACATCAAACTGACGAAATTTATGGATTGTCAGTGTAGGATGAATTTGTGTTTACAAAGTTTTATTGTAAGTGAGAATCAAAAGCTTTTGTTCGTAAGAACTAACATCAGTCTGTCTTATTAGCCTTCTCTCATTTTAGAAAATAAATGCTTCATGTTTCATTTCTGCCTCAACTTTGTTATACCTTTACTATACTTTTTGTTTAATTCTGCTCTAAAAGGGTTACAGAAGTATTTGTTGGAGTTCTAGGAAGCCAATTTTGTTACTACAGTAGGAAGTCATAAGAGAAGAATTTTGTGTTTAGATAGTACTATCATTTTGATAGTATCTGGAGTTCCTCCCTTCTGCGATAAATTAAAAGCAGTGCAAGAGACTATTTTACACAAAAGAGCAATGAGAGAATCCATTAATCTCAGGCATATTTGAAGTCTGGAGAACTTTCATATTAAATCTGAGATAAAGTCTTCAGTACTATCTTGGTTTTGGACACTGTTCTAAAACTATTTTTAAACAGATAAATAATGGTTGAAATTGAAGCTCCTCAAAATACCTTGTTTATTGTTGAATTAATTTAACTGAAGCAGTAATTGTTTGTTGAATTAGATCCCAAACATAATTCTATGTACAAATTACAGCTTTAAGACTAAGCATTCTCTTTCTAAAGGGTGTGTATTTTGGTGTGGGGTGGTTTTTTTTTTTTACATCTTTCATAATTGAGTAGATCCGTCTAGAGAAATAGATATGTTCAGCTGTGGTTTTTTTGTTTTATATCAAGACTCTTGCTTTTATTCATTAAAAAAATAAATAGCAGCTGTTGAAAATGGCTGCAGGTCTGTCCCTTTCTTTTTTTGTATAAGGTTATTATTTTGGGAAAATTACGGATTTAATACTTACAGTTATATAGAAGAAAATACTTGAGGGTCACCTTTCATTTTTAGGCATTTTTATTATATTTGAATTATTTTTCTGAACACCTTTTTATTGGGTCTCTCTTGAAGAGCTTTGTTTCTTTTCTATTTCAGTTTTTTTCATATGTTATACATAATGTCTTGAATATATAATTTTCTATGTCAACTGAAAATGCCTTTTGAAATTCCAAGTTGTTTTAGAAATATACCACTTTAGAAGCGATATGCCCAACATTTCATGAGAAGGCAGACATGATTAGAAGTTATTGTAGATGATTGGTGTAATTGTTTACAGTGTTCTGATAAAGTGTAGCAAATGATGTTTTCCACAGGAATGTATAGCCAGGTAGAGATAAATTAATAACTCCTTTATGTAGCATTGAAAACAGGAAAAAAAGCAGCTCTAGTAAGTCATAGTAAGCCATAAGAAGTAGCATTGTGGATAAGAGCAAAAGTCCTGTGCTTCCTGCAACAGGTACTTAATGAAAGACTATTTTAAAACAACATCATCAAACAAACAACCCCCCAAACAAAGGAGGGGAAAAAAAAACAAACAAAACCAAAAACAACTAAACCCAACACAGCCTAATGCTATATTTTTCTATCACCCAGCATCAGTGTTTTTTTTTTTTTTTTTTTTAATTTAAGTATTTTCTGAGCTGGGTGAGCTTGGGACATAATTCTGGACCTAGCACTGTAATTGGAACTGAAGGGGATAACTTCCCAAAATTTATCTGAGGCATGGTTTCCTTCGTTCCCATTCCTGGAGCTAAGATTTTAAGTGACAAAACTCAGAATCATAGACTCATAGAATCGTTAGGGTTGGAAGGGATCTTTAAAGATCAGCAAGTTCCAACCCCCCTGCCATGGGCAGGGACACCCTCCACTAGCCCAGGTTGCTCAAAGCCTCATCCAGCCTGGCCTTGAACACCTCCAGGGATGGGGCATCCACAGCTTCCCTGGGCAACTTGTTCCAGTGCCTCACCACCCTCACAGTGAAAAACTTCTTCCTAATATCTAATCTGAATCTGCCCTCTTTCAGCTTTCATCCTGTGTCATCTTTAATTTTCTTAACACTTTTACTCCTCTTAAGCTTATTCTATGCTGTTAGAAATTCTGGTCCTGTGTAGCGTTTAGATGTATTTGAAATCTAGAAGTAGGTCAGGAGTTTCTCTTTGTCACAGAACAAGTTTGCTCCTATCCCAGAAATGTGTTAGACTTACATGTGTAAAAGTCTCCCCTTACAACAACTACGTACGATCTGGTCCACTAAACCACTTTGATAGTCAGTGGAGACCATAAAGCTCTTCCAGGGCTTATCATCCTATACTTATCCTAAAGTAGGATGTCTAAAACAGGCTGGGTTAAACATGTGATTTCAGTCTGAGCATGGAGCTCCTTAATGCCCTAGCTCTGATGCAAGTCCAGTTTTGCTGACATCAAAAGCTGGATGAGATTAATCCAACTCTCAGTATCCCACAATTATAACCTGAATGCTTCACTGTGTTCAAATTGTTTGGAATTTCCTATTTTCTCTCCTTTGTCCTTTTATGTGTAAAATTTGGAACTGATGAATATGAAAAATGTGGTGTGGTGCAGGAAGCTTTTCTCTGGGTTGGTTTGTTTTCTTCCCCAGTGTTTGGAGGTTTATTTGGCCTTGATTTAGAGTTGTCTGGGATGTTAGCAGTATAGCCATGTTGCAGAGGTTTGGGAAGGAACATGATTCAGTAAGAAAGGATCCTCCTGTTTGTAATGTTACAAGGAGAAAGATGAGCTCTCAGAGAGTTGCACCTTCTCTCTGTATCAGTGGTGAATGAGCTTTCCTTTGGACTTAGATGACAGGAGGGCTTAAGTGTTCAGCTGGCTCATATGTTCAGTATAGCTAATGTCCCATTTACTGTTTTGTGAGGTTCTGTGCCATGCAGTCGTGTTTCAACGTAGGTTTACAGTACTGAGTTGGCTGTTAATGTGACTATATTGGCTGGATTGCAGGATGCAATTGTCACCTGTTCTCTTCCAGTTCATTGCTCGTATTAGCTGGTGAATTTACTCAATGTTATATAAAATATTTTTTGTTATTATTCTTAATAGTCTGGTAGTATTGGGTTTGCATGTAGACAAGGTGATGGTTCCCTCCTACAATAAACTTTTTATTCCCTTTTCAAGACTGGTGTGTTAGAGGAACACTTACGAATGCATCTTCAGTGCTGTTTGACTTTGTGTAGTTTCTGGGGCTTGAACCTTTCTATTATCACCATACTCTGGGATTATTACAGCAAGAACCTGGTAAGTAGATGAATATATAGCAATGCAGAATTGCATGCGGATGGTCCTCTATTTTTAGCAATTAATTCTGGTTCTCCTGTATACAAGTTTGACTGTTACTTTTGCAAAACTGACTAGTTAATAGTAGTATCCCTGAATTTGCTGTATTTATTTAGGAAATCATGTTTAAATATATGTTATGGTCCATTACGTTATGTCACAATAGAATGAGTTATATTTTTACTCTTATTTTTCATCAGGACTACTTGTTTTAAGGTCTTGTAAAAACGTTTTGCACATAGTTACAATGCATTTTTATTTCTTCAGTTGTGGTAGGTATATGTCCTTTTGTGTGAAGGATTGCATTTTATTGCCTTTGAAATGTTAGCATTTATTGCTATTTATCATCTTTTCTGGTTTCATTTATTCTTTTAGAACAGTTGCTTTACTATTCCTTGGCTTGGTCTGAAGGATCTGGTAAACATTAGTAAAACTTCTTTGTCAATGCTTGAGTTGGTGAAAAGTTGCTGTTGTGAACAGCAGATCCCCACCCTGTACAAGTCCAGCAACAGTTACTTCATTTTTCTCAGTATTTTGGCACGGATGATGAAAGAAGAGGCAGAGAACAGTGGCGTGCATCCTTGGAAACAAATTAAAGGACGGTATGGCTGCTATTTAGTCTGTCTTATGTTGTAAGATGTCTTGTCAGTCAGACTGCATGGCCCTTCCAGCCACATACCAAAGCAAGGGAGGGTACTGTGCTCATGAGAAGGTAAAGGGGATGGGGGATCCAGGGTGATTCACAACTTGAAGGCGGCAGTTGTTCCCTGAAGTTTCTTTTGCCAGCTGAGGCTGCGACTGGGTCGAAGAGCTGTGTCCAAGAATCACCTTGGCATCCGTAGCCTGTGATGATTTACTTTGTCCCACAGGCCAGGAATTTGGTACGCTGGCAACCTGTGCAGTGGTACAACTCTGTTGCCAGACAGGTAATGTAATTAAAGCACAGAAGTTCTGTTCTGAGCTGCATGTAAGCCATGTGCTGTCCAAGAACATGCAGACTGGCTCTTGCTAGGCCAGCAGTTTCATTTATATTTCCATTTTCTTTTTCATAGCTTCCAAAATTTCTCCAAATATTTTTTGTGAGTGTTTTAATTTTTGATTTAATTTTGAAACATACTACTTAAGAGGTATGGTCAGTCATTATATTAAAAAGACACAAAATATATATGCTCTAAATCAAAATCCTGGTGTTTTATATACTTGCTGAATCCTTAAAATGTTTATTATAGTAATGAGATTGTACTGATCATTAAAGGTGCTAAATTTTTAATTTTTTTTTTTTTTGGATATGGAAGAATTAGTTTTGTTTTGGGGTTCTGTTTTGAATTTTAAAAGATTTTATTAAGTATTAATAAAAATCTTTTTGTATGCAAGTAATATATAAAAAATGCACGTGTATGCACACCTTACAAAGCTATGTGGTATGTTTCTTCCAAGAAAGAAGGGTGGTTTATCTTGGCTATCAGAAAGGGAAAATATATCTAATGCCTAGGTAGACTTCATGAGTTGTTACAATCAGTAAAGTTCAGGTTTAAAAGTTACTACTACTATACAGAAACAAATATGTTGTTGGATGCAGAATCAGTATCTTGCTTTAGTTAGTAATTTTAATTAGCCTGCTCTGTTTTTACTGAAAACAAATTATACCTACATTTTTGTGCTATTATAACTTGTTACTTTCCCAAATTTAAGAGGGGGAATAATAATACACAGTATACACTGTGTCAGTCTGCTCAACCAGTATTCGTCATTTCTACCTTGAATAAATCAATTACACAAGTAGCAAAATTTAACAGCCTACAGCTATGATTTTGGAATGAACTCTCTTTTCAGCAGCTAACCAAGTATTAATTGATGCATGAAGAACGTAAATGCCTGTCAGTAGTAATTTACCACTAAACAACATTAATTGGATTTGCTGTAATTTTTGGTGGCTAGATTTGATAGCCTCAGCAGCATTTCCAACTATTTTTCCAAGTGACAAAATAGGAAAACAGCATTTATGGGGGTTTAACTACTGTACGTGGAACTTACTTTAAATGAAAGGTGAAGGATATACCCAAGATTTTAAACACATAAATCAAAAAGTTATGCAAGCCATTTTCATCTTATTCCTCTATCGTAGGAATAGTGACATTGATTTAAAAGTCCAGATCTGAGCAAAGGTCACAGAAAAGACACCTACGTAAAAAGCTTTTTGCATTTTGTCATCCACCTTACCGTTGCAAAGTAGCAGTGCTTCTCACCATCAGCTACACATGACTTGAGCACTGTCGTATGAGCAATACAGCTTAAAGTTTCTTAACATCTTCCTGCTGGAGAGAGGTTTCTCTCTGAAACACCTCAGTTTCCCTTTTTTCTCCCAAACTTGTAGTCCTCAGTCCATACAGTAGGTGTGCAATACAGGTCGGTACCGAGTTTGGTGAAGCACTGTGGAGAAAAGGAGCTTTACGTTAGAAATCACAGCAGCTGTGGGAGTGTAACCCAAGGACAGAAATCAGTAGCTAAAGGAAGGAGAGTCCCTGGTTGTCTTGGATTTTTTTTTTTTTTGTGCCACATGGAAATAAGGGAGTTTCTAGCGAAGAAGTTGGGGTACAAGAATTGTTTGCTGTTGCTAAGAGATGCTACTTGGCCCATGTCCTTTCCTAGCAACGCTATGGGCTAAATTTGATCGATATGAAGGCATGGTATGGAGGAGACCCATCACAGACAAAGAGAGAGTCCACTCATAACATTGTGCTCAACTTTGTACTAATATTGGATAAGGGAGAAAACTCTTAACATGTGCCTTGAATTGGGAGCAGAAAATTAAATAGCATGTTTGTCCCACAAGCTAAAAGAGTAGAAGAGGGGAGGGAAGAGAGGATATTTAAAAATTAAGATTTATTGGAAGAGAATAAGTGTAAACTAAACGAAAATGCAATTTCAGTGTATCAAGCAGATAGAAAATGTCATACTTTAAGAAACTTTCTATTTCCTGGTTTGTTTGGTTTGCTTTTTTAATGTAGAATTTATTCCAAGTTCCATCGGAGGAGAATGCAGGAGCTGACAGAAGTGGGGCTGCAGAACTTTTTTAATCTGTTCCTCGTGCTGGCAATTGTTGCAGAGACGGAAGATATTGTGAGTCGAGTGTTGGATCTTCTGGATTTCCTGACTCCATCTTCCATCACCGTGTCTCAGAGAGCTCTCATCTGGAGAAGCCATTTTGCTTTCCTTTTGATTTATGTTGAGAAAAACATGGACATTAGTGTCCTAGCTGAGAAACTCTCAAATGCTTTCCGGGGGAAGGCAAAGGAGTTTTTAGTAAACAAAAATGACTATACACAGAAACACAATCTTTGGACTCTACTTTCAACCTACATTGATGGTGTCCAAGAAGTGTTTGAGACCAGCTGCTACTTGAGCCTTTCTGAGGAAAAGTTGCTAAATGATGGCTTTACTATGCTGCTGCCTGCTTGTCGAGGAGCTGAACTGAGTATGGTCCTAAATTTTCTTCAGGTTGTTCTAGCCAGACTTCGGTAAGTTATTTAGTTAAATTCTGGATATAGACTGACATGTTTGTTTTGTGTTTAGGGTTAAACTATAGTTCATATTAATTTCTTACTGACATAGAGTAAAATGAAGGAGAAATCTCTGGAGGACTGTGAATGTGTTAAATTTCAAAATCCACCAATACCTCACTGCATTTAGAATCTTAGAAATGTTTCCTTACAATTTCAGGACATTAGGTTTGACATCCCTGATACTTTTGTTATTAATTCATGGCTCTGTAGAAAGTAATCCAGTTGCTACTATTTCAGACAATACCATCTTTATTTTGCCATAGGAAGTTTCAGAATAGTCTGTACTAAATTACTTAAGTTAGGGGGTTTTGGTGTTTGGGGTTTTTTTTTTCTTTTTTTTCTTTTCAGTAAATCTATTTTACTTTTCAGACTCTTCATTCTGTTTTTTTCTCTTTCACCAAGGTTGCAAACAAATACAGCAGTTACGGAGATTTAGATACTTGTCTGGGGTTCAATAGGAAAGAAGGAAATAATATTTTACCACTTCTAAGCAGTTTTGCTTTGATGTACTAGTTCAGTTTTCAACATCCACAGTGCCCTTCAATAAGCATATTTTTGTTGACTGATGCCTTTCAGAGGTAGTCCTCCAGTTTGAAGCACAAACTGCCTTTTTTTTTTTTTATAAGATATTAAGAGGCAGCTATTGATCTGCCATTGCTTCAAATGTGCAAGGCTGAAGTATGTGGAAAGAGCTGTGGAAGACTGCATAACAGGAATAGTGAGGCCCATATGCAAGATCTCTCTTTAACTAGGTTCTTTATTATTGTCTAGTAGTTTGACTGCAGCTGTCAATAGCTCATACATCCAAAGACAACTGTTTTTCAAGCAGTCTTTTGAAAAAAAGATGAAGCATGAAACTAAGTTTAGTTGATTTATTATTTATTATTTCAGTTCATCTAGATGTGTTTACTGGAATAAATTGGAGACTTCAAAAATACTTTGACATTTTTTCCATTAGCTAATACACAGTATTTGCTGTGTGGTTTTAAAAGATGAAATTGGGAGAAATTTGAGACTGGTGAAAAAGTTGCTTATTTCATAACTTTGCATTGTTTCGAAGCTTTACAGAACTGGGGGTTATGTGGTCCTCTTGTAACACAGAGAGGAGGGCATAGAAGTTCGTTACAGACTTCTCAGGTCATGGACAAGGTACAGGACAGTATTCGTACCTTTTCTTACAAAAAGCACGTCCGCTGAAATATTTTTGAATTACCAACATGCTCAAATACTAATTGGTACGAAAGATTATTAGAGCCTTGTTTTCACCTGTTCTTTAGTTCAGCTTCTGTATTTATAGATTTGGTTTCTGTTACCTGCCTATTTATCCCATCAACAGAGAGGCTTAATTCCTTAATGTTTGTGAAATGCTTTGATCTTCAGGTTGTATGGAACAGGAAAATGTTACCGCTGCTTACTCCCACTTTGACAGACCCACTGAAAATATTCCTCTGTAGCCATACAAGTAAAACAACACTAAAAACAGTTTCTTCATTGAGAAGGTTTGGATGACTTTGTACCAACCAGATGTTAAACTATTACTGGCTTAACCAGACTGATTAGGCATGCTCTGTCTGCAAGCTCCGAAAAGGATGAAATGATTCAATGCTGTTCTCTTCCGTTTTTAAAATCCAGGCAGACATAAGATAGCAGGCCTTTCATAAATGTAGTTTTTCTATGCACGGCATTCTAATAATTTTGTAACTGTATGACAGGGAATTTACAGGTGGGAAGGAAGTGAGATCACTGATTAAAGAGAGAAGCGGCTCCCTCTAGGCTGTTAGGAAATAATAATTTCACGTGCCACTTTCTGCTAACCCTGGATGATGGCTCACAGGAGTGTTCTTTATTGCTGATTAAGTAGCATTATGAAAATACTGACTTGGTTACATTAACTAAATGCCTCAGTATTTAAAGCTTAAAATGTCAAATAGTTTTAGCAGTCCCCTTTAACATATCTTGGATTGCTAGAATCACATTCCAGGTTTCCCAGTTGCTTTTATTTGACAATACTGTAAAAATGGCAATCTTCTTTAATTATGGCTCTTCATGCTGCTATGGTTGTGGGTCTGTCAGCATTTCCATTCTAAACCTTTATTAGGGTTTGTAACATGGCAGTGAAAACTTGCTCTGGGCTAAAACTTGGCATACAAGGTTTTGAAAATGTGCTTGTTTTCTTCCTTTCTTTTTTTCTTAAAAGGCATCTGAAAAGAGACCCCTGCCTTCACCATTTTTATGCTACTGTGTTTTAAAGTAACCCTTTCCAGGTTTTTTCTTGTATTTTTCTTGTCTGCTAGAAAAATACTTCTAGCTTTTGATTGTTGTGTTTACCTATGCTTAGACTGTTGTAAATAAGCTTTTTAAAACCACTTTTTAATTTGTTACAATTATGACTATTTTGGTCTCCATATATTTAAATAGAACTATGACTTGGCAGGAGAACTCATTTTTATTAGTTTTTGATATGTGGTGAGTGGATAATTGGAAACAAGATGCTACTTGCTGGCACTTCCAAGTATTTGATCTTCATAGTGAGATGCAGTATGAAGTGTAAGATTGTATTTTAATACACTCTCCTTTTTAAAAACATATGTAAAATAAACATATGTAAACCAGAAACTCCCCAAAATTAAATGCAAAGTGCTTCCTTCCTATGTTTACTTGGAACATTCAGTTTCTAGCTCGGACATAAGTTTTTCCTTTATTTTTGTTTTTGTTTTTAAGCTGTGTTTTAGAATCCTGCTTTTTTCCTTTTTCTTTAATGAAAGGTAAGTGTAAGATGCTTGCCCATGTATGCTTTCTTTTGTTCCAAATCTCTACCTATCATCTGAGTGCCTCATGACACAAGAAGAAACTCTAGGTTAATAAAAATGTAGGCATTTACTGGATTTGACAGAACTCGCTGTAAAAATGGACACAGAAATCTGCTGAGTGCCTGGAAACAGTAGGTTCTGGCAGTGCAATATATTATTCTTGAAAGAAGTGCTTGAAACATGTTAAAATGTCTTTTGATTGTAATCGGGTATTGCTCTGACATGAGCTTTCTCTCATTATCATCATCATCCTGGCATTTGGGTTTTGTGGTGTATTAGCACTGAGTTACAGGATTATAAAATACAAGTGCATGCCCAGGTGTAAAATCACTGCTGTACTCCAAACACCTTTGCCTAGTTTCAGGGAGGCTTGCCACTGAGTCCCATAGGAGTAATTAGAAGTACCCCAAACCTAGTAACATAATAAATGGTAATTTTATTTTGAAAACAATTCTTGCGTATTTGTGCCGTTTGTACTCTTCTCTCAGTGTTGAAGGACACAAAAAGTTATTGAAAATTTCAACGTGAAAATTTCATAAGCTCTACAGGAATACTAACCAGGTAAACCTGTCTCTAATTAAAAGTTAAATTAATAATTGGGCCATGGATAACAGCAGAACTGGATGTTTTTATCTGTTAGAGTGTGCCTAGCCTTGAGGTTGTGAGGGAAATCACGATAGGAAAGGATTATCCAGTATATCTTTGCTATGAAAATATATAGTCATTTGTAGGTTTTTTTGTGTTATACTTGCCATCAAAACAGCCTGTGGGAAGCTTTCCGAGACCAGCAGAAGCCTCTCTCCCCCTCTCTGTTACAGTGTAAGTCAGCAGATAAGCTCATGAGGAGAATAGAAAGGTCCTCCCCCGCCCTCCTTCTTTTCTTCCCCCTCAGGGGTTTTAGTGTTAGTCTTTGTAAATTGTATTTTCTGATGCTGAACTTCTGAAAACTGTGTCCAGAAGAGTTTAGAAGAGCATGAGTCTTCTCTTACCCATCCCATGAGTATATTTAGAGATACTGGTTGTGATGTCCTGATGAGCACAGAAGGCAACTCTGGGACTAAACCACTGAACTGAGAGTCAGAAGATGGCTCTAAGATTTTCCCAGGCTTAATGAATGACCTTTAGAAAGTCATTAAAAGTTGCTATGAACTTTGTTTACCTGTGTGGAAGAAAGAAATAAGTCCTTCCTTTTTGACTTTACAACGTAGATCTTATGCTTGGGGAGCAAGCGTGCCATTCCACGAATAAAACTGGAGTTTGAATGAGTGTGAAGAAAATCTACTCTCTAAATGCTTTGGAGCATGGGAAGCAAGCCCTGCTTTAGAATATAGCAGTGTTTTGAGAGGTTTGCTGTGTCTAAGTCCTATAAAAGGAACATTACCATCTTCTGTGGGAATACTGGATGTGTTCTTTGCTACAGTTGTTGCCTTAAGGCGTGGCTCTGGTAATTAAAACTGAATTTCTTTTCTCTTCCTGCTACTTCATGTGGGATTTGAGAGTATTGCTCTGAGAGTATTATTACACAAAGGAATGAAGTGAGATGCAGTGTGCACTGGAAGTGTGTACCTAGTGCTTTGCTTATAGAAAGTTCCTGTGTATGTCTAGCATTGGTTCAGGTTTGCAAGAATATTCACTTCCACTTCTCGCTGTCCAGTTTCTCAAATCAGTAGGCAGCTGCGTGACGAGCCAAATAATTAAGATCAATTTCATATCGGTGCTTAAGTTGTAATAGAGAGCATCTGTCTTAGCAGGAGGGCAACAAAGCTGGTGAAAGGGCTGGAAGGCATGTCCCATGAGGAGCGGCTAAGGACTTTGGGCTTGTCTGATTTGCAGAAAAGGAGGCTGAGGGGCAACCTCATGGCTCTCTACAGCTTCCTGAGGAGGGGAAGTGGAGGGGGGGGTGCTGAGCTCTTCTCCCTGCTATCCAGTGATAGGATGTGTGGGAATGGTTCAAAGCTGCTCCAGAGGGGTTTAGACTGGACATTAGGAGGCATTTATTTACTGAGAGGCTGGTCAAACACCGGAACAGGCTTCCTAGAGAGATGATCCCAAGCCTGTCAGTGTTTAAGAGGCATTTGGACATGCCCTTAACAACATGCTTTAACTTTAGGTGAGCCCTGTATTGGTCAGGCACTTGGACTACGT